GAAGAAGAATTTCTTTTTTTATACACTATATCTAAACGTTCTAGGATGCTGTTGATCGAACAGTAGATTGGGAATCTGTAGTGCAGTTGATAATTGAAATTCGTAAGATTATTGCCGATTACAACATCAGTGATGTTGCATCTATTATTAATGCGACTTTTTGTGGCTATAATCGTATGTTTTTTTTTGTGGTCAGCTTTTTTTTAGTATTTGTACAAAATCATTCATTTGATTTTATAATCGTTTACAGTGAAAAGAAATAAAATTAAAAATGAAGCATTACTATTCAATTTCTTTCTCTTTTTTTTTTGTTTTTAATATATCTAAGCATAATTTAAGTATTAATTTGCTTTGCTTTGAATTGTCAGTCGTTGTACAACAAACATAGCATTTTAAAATTCAGCACTTATCCTTAGAAGCGACTGATTAAAAAATTTTTCCAAAAATCAAAATTCTGGTTTTTCAACTGAAACTGTTATCTGTGACAGTTGTTTCTGCAACATCTTCACATCCTCTCCCATTTTTTATATTAAAATCAACTTTCTCTTTTGTCTTTTATTCTGTGGTCATCAAAATTTTTACTAGTATAGCATTTGATGCTTCGGAGGCAAACGCAGCACGACAAGCCAAAAGCGCCTATGCAGCGTTCAACAAGGATACCTCAATTTTGTATGACTATTTACGCAAACAATCACCAGCATATCGTTCCGAAGAAAATCAGACTTGTGATGGCATTAAATTACTACAAGGTTGAAAAAAACCAACAACTTTTTTCATTTGATTTAGCAATATTTTTTATCAAATGCTTTCAGTACCATACCAACACAGCAACATTCTGAGAAACAAACCTGCTATAAGATTAAAACTAAAATCTTTTAATTTTCAAATGTAAATGGTTATTTATTCAAACAGTAACTGTGGTGTACTAGAATAAGCAGTAAATTTAATGTTGATACATACACTTAGCAGCGTACTATCATAGCTAAACATTAGGTAACAACTGTTCGTATATGAACGATCCAATGATCGATCAGATGAAACCAATGCTTGTCGGTTACATACTGGTTGGTCCAGATTCTCCAGTGGTTCGAGACTTTGTTGATCAGGTTTGTGTTTTTAAATTAAAACAGCAGTTTTTTCTTTCCAGTCTCGTAATCTGAATGGCAAAAAACATTTTAACTGCGTTTTTGGATTCAGATGTCTGAGCCATTGAAGTGGACAAATCTGTTGCGTCTAAAGCTGCTATCTTTTGATCAAAATGCTGAATCGCTTCAAGATGCCTTGGCAAACAGTAATTTACAGAAAGCTGCACAGGTTAATTTACTAATCGATTAGTGTAAAATAGGCTTAAAAACAGTAGGAAGAAGAAGAGAACAAAATCATAAGCACAGAAAACAAACTGTATTACATTTTCTTTAACTGCTTAGTTTTGATTAGTATTTATTAGTCAGTATCACTATCTTCTGAGAGAGCAGAGAAAAGACAGTGTAGATGGTTTGTTTTAAGAATAGATGAAAAACTTAATTAATATTTTTAAAATTTTGTTTTTTTTTTCAATTGCAAAAACTATCTCTACAAAATGTTTTAAAAATCTGAAAATTATTGACAGTACAGCCAAGTATTACTTGACGAAGATTACTGCAGGCTTTAGCCAACATTTTACGCGCTTCACATGCGACAGAGACTGCCGGAATTTCGACAGACAAATTAATCCAGTTTCTGGAACATGCCTTCAATAATTCAACTGACCAGCAAGCTGCTTTGATTGTTCTAAAAAAATATAATCGGATGCTGCTAGAAATTTTTGATGTAAGTAACTAAAACAAATGAACACCTGTTTTTACAAATGTGCTTGATTTATTCTCATTCAGAGATTAAAACAGGGTTTTTTAAGCTTTTTTGTTAAACTGTGACTGTTGTGAATAATTGATAAAAAGTTTAGTGCGTTGCTATGGATCGTTTTGTAATTGTAAAAAACGAGGAGGTTATGGAAAATCAGTCGTTATGCTTAATGGAGAATAAGCAATACTTTACAGGAGTTTATTTTTTGAATATGACTGGTAATGAAACTGAATTTCCGTCTATGGTCGGCTACAAAATAAGACATCCACCTCAATTAGTTGACTGTAAGTTTATCAGCTCAAAAATTCTGTCGTGTAGCTTTGATGATATTGCAAAATTCAAAAGGCACAGATGCGTACTTCACTGATTAGCGCTACTCAATCTTCAATTTTCAAGCTATTTGTAACTTTTATCTTTACAAAATGCAATTACTACAAATTACTGTCTTTTGTTTGCAGCAACAACGGGAGGTTTATCTGACAGCTGGCGCCGATATTCTTCTCGAGACGATGTCTTGGTAGACCTAAAATATTTAACTTTTGGATTCAGTTTTATACAAGAAACTGTTGATCGTATCCTTACCAAATTTTTGTCTGGCCAGGCTATTCCGACAGGACTTTATGTTCAGCAAGAACCTTTCAAATGCAATACTAAAGACACGTAATTGCTCATAATTATTCTATGCATCTTACTTGATTTATTCGTTATCATTATTCGTTTGACAACCAAAAAATGTTAGGTTTGCATAAGTTGCTTAATATTTTTGTAGCACATTTTTTAATTAGTGAAGAAGTCGAGCTAAACGGCAGCAGGCTAGCAAACTGAAATTACAAAATTTTTAGCTTTAAAGTACTTGATTTTCTGCCGATGTTCGTCATACTGTCTTGGATGATTCCATCTGCAATGTTGGTCAAAAATATTGTGTTTGAGAAAGAGATTCGATTAAAAGAAATGATGCGAATTATGGGACTTGGAGACACGGTACATTGGATTGCCTGGGCAGGCCAATCTGCTCTTATGAGCATTTTTTGCTGTATAGTAATATCAGTAATGTTAAAGGTTAGCCAACAAATTCAATTTTGGTGTGCAAAAATTCGCTGTTCATTACAGTGGAAAAACGGTCAAAAAAATTTTTTTGAAGCTAATCTAAGTTTTTAATATTTTGTTTTTCGATTTTAATTTGCTATCGGTTTGCTGTAAATCTTTACCAGCACTTTTGTTTAGCAGGTGTAATCACTTTTGAATAATCAGTTTTACAGTATGGAAACATCTTGCCGAATACAGATTTAACGTTATTATTGGTGTTCTTCTTGCTTTTCGCTTTTGCGTGTATCGCTCAAAGCATCTTCTTTACCACGCTGTTCTCGAAAGCTAACATAGCCACGGCATTATCTGTGTTATTGTTCTTCCTATTCTTTTTTCCATATCAAATATCCTGGACTTACGCAACTCCAACTTTTATCAAAATTATGGTAAGCAGACAAAAACTTCTTTTTTTCTGTTCTTTGCTAGTAGCTTATACTTCTAGCTGGTATTTCCTCAATCAGCAGTAGGATATGGCTTTACAATGTTGTACGTTGCTGATGAAGAAAACTACGCCCAATGGAAATATTTTCGGTCTATTTATTCATCTGGTTAGAAAATTTATACAGCTTTTCTTATATTTTATAAGTCCACCGTGTTGTACCGCAAATCAGCTATTGTAGAACCGCACTTTCCTCTGTATTGACCATTTTCTTAGCCGCCCGTAACAAATAGGTGTTTTTTTTAGATTTTGGAAACTTACCGATGTACTCTGTTTTTGCCGCTCTTATATGTGATGTTGTGTTGTATATATTGCTGTCTTGGTATGTAAGCGCGGTATTTCCAGGTGATCTCTCGATACTTTATTACTTTACAAACTGTACTAGTTTTGAGTATAATTTATTTACACCATCAAATATGGCTTTTTTTGGTTACCAATATTCTTGACAATTTCTGAAAAAATTGGTATTTTCGACTGGTTCGCTTAAACTGATTTTAATTTTTTTTTTTTTTTGAAATACAGTGGTAATAGTGATAAATGACAGGAAAGAGGTGCTAATACTAGGTGTATAATACACTATTCATCTTAAAAAATAAATTTTTTCATTTGCTCTTCAAAAGTTAAATATGTTATCGTAATTTTTACAGGAAAATATGGTATAAAGCAACCGTACAACTTTTTTTTGACAAGGCGATATTGGTTAGGATGCGAATCATACGATCCACGAGAAAGCAAATTTATTGCTTTTGACGCAATCTCTGAGAAAATTTATTTCGGTCAGATGCCACTAGGTTCGTTTTGATCACTTTACTTTTACTAGATTTCACTTTATTTTTCTGTTACTGGTTTAATTTTGAATAATAAGCTGTATGTTACTTAATGTATAAATATTGTTTTTAAAATTGCAAAACTGTTAAGGAAAACAGGCTGCATTACTTAAATGATTTACAGTTGGCCATAATTTTGAGCCTGAACCAACTGATTTACCATTGGCTGTAGAAACACAAAATTTGGTAAAGTGCTACGGTCAGAACTTTAGAGCAGTAAGTTTTTGATATAACATTGTTTATTCATTGATTATCTTTTTGGCGGAAAATAAGACGCTTTATGAAGAGCACTTGTTTCAGATAAATAATTTAAGTATTCGTTTCTACGAGTCTCAAGTAACTGCGCTGCTTGGTCATAATGGTGCTGGAAAAACTACTACTTTGTAAGTCTGCACAGTATGCTATAAGCGTAAGACTACGAATATCTTAGCCTTACTTTGGTCTTGCGGTATTTTCTCAAGTTTTGACGCCAGAATTTTGCAAAAAACCTTGTTAATTAAAACAATATTTTATTAATAGATCAATATTAACTGGGCTATTTTCTCCGACCTCTGGTACTGCCTACATTTATGGAAAAGACATTAGGCAAGACATAACAGCTATTAGAGAATCTCTTGGCCTTTGCCCGCAGCATAACATCTTATTTCCGGAGTAGACTTTTTTGCTCATTTTTTCTTCCTTTTTCGTCCTATATTTTTAAATTTTTATTAGATATACTTTAAGTCGATTTGTAATATTGTTTATAGCAAAACTAAAATGTAAAGTTTTACTTTTAAACTTCTTTTAAAAAATTGGTGAAAACAAAGACGTTTTTAGCTTAACAGTTGCTGAACAACTAACGTTTTATGGCGCTTTAAAAGGAGTACCAATAAAATGTCTAAAAGCTGCTGTAACAACAATTATTGAAGACACTGGCTTAACCGACAAGACTGATCATGTTACATCTACACTATCAGGTTTGTTTTGGAGGTTTAAGAGAAATGATACAACAATTATGCCTTTCGTTCCAAGCAGCTGAAAAAAATGATAGCAGATAGTCAAAATGTAGTACTACTTTTTAATATCGATGAGCTTCAGGGGGTATGAAGCGGAAGTTATGCATTGCAATTGCTTTCGTCGGAGGTTCAAGGCTGGTTATCTTAGATGAACCAACTGCTGGAATAGATGCTCATGCAAGACGGTCAATTTGGGAGCTAATAGTAAAATACAAGCAAGGTCTGTCAAAACTTGTCTTATTGAACTTTGTCTCAAATACCGCTGTTGAATTTAGCTTTTCTTATTATTTCTTCTTTTTGAGGCAGGGCGGTAAATTCAGAGTTTATCTAGACTGCTGTCAAACGTAATTTTTTCTTAGGAAGAACCATGATTTTATCAACGCACCACATGGATGAGGCTGACGCTCTTGCTGATAGGATTGCTATTATGGCCAATGGTTCTCTTAAGACCGCTGGTTCTTCACTGTTTCTCAAAAAACGTTTTGGTGACGGTATCCGTTTGAGCCTGTTGAAAGCTGAGGTGAATAATTGTTGTTTTTAAGTGTAATCTAAGGTTACAGCAAAGATTACACTTTTTTATTGTTACTTTAGTGTAAAATTGAGCGGAATTGCTTGAATGACCACATCAAAAAGTCTAAAGAACAAATTTTCTATGAAGGCTTTCAGATAAATATTAAAATATTTTTAGAGGAATGATATTCAGAGCATTGCCGAATTTATCGGTACAAAGACTTTCGGGATGAGTGCACTTTGTGACGTTTCTGAGGATGAAGTTGTCTTTAGGCTCCCAGCAGATCTAACTGCAAAAGAAATGCAAAGGTCTTACAGAATTTGAAATTTTCTAAAAAAAATTGTTCTTAAAATAATTCTATGAGTTTTTCATATTAACATTTATAGCTTGTTTGAGGATCTAGACGTACGACGAGATGTGCTTGGTTTCAGAAGCTATGGTATTAGTGCGCCGTCGTTACAAGAGGTTCAAAAAAAAATTCTCTTTTTGCATTGAATACTCTGTAATGTCAAAGCTTTACGACTATTAAAAGTATTTAAAAAGCGTCAGCCTTGTTTTCTGAAGAGTTGCCGAATAGATTGGTCATCAACTAAAAAAAAAATTAAGCTGTTTGAAAATCTCGATTAATGTTGAATGTTATTGCATATTTAGTTGTAAATTATTTTTTACAGATATTTCTTAAAGTTGCTCCTCGTCAGGATATTAAATTGAAAGGAACTCAATTGGCAAATCCGTTTAAATCAAGAAAGGTCCTTGCAAATTTATGGTGTTGCTGCTATGACAAAGTTTCTGTTATAGAAGCAGCTTCTGCTTCTCCGTGTTTAAGAGACAATCACATGGCTCATATGAGCAACTCAGTCGGTGTACTTCCAGTAGCTTCTGAAGGTTAGATTTTTTTTTATTTTTGTCAAGAGTAGAAACCTATTCAACAGCTCAGGTTGAAGTGTAGATTAATGTTATATACTTTTAAAGTTAATGTAAAACGAGTTTTTAGTTCGTTCACATCCATTGGTAAAATTAGTGTACAACCCTTATGCTTTGCTTTGGCAACACTTTAAGTCGCTTTTGTTTAAACGATGGTGTGTATTTTTACGAAGTGCTCTCGTTTTAGCGGTACGATTTTCTGTCTCTTTAAGTAGTATTCAAGCTTTAGGTTTTCAAATAGTTGACACATATCTTTTTCTAGATAAAAATGAAGAAAGTTTTTTGATTTTCTGTGGTTAGCTAGAAGAATTTTTAAACTGGTTGACGTTGTCCTTCAGATAGTACTTCCAATTCTTCTCATGTTAGCTGCAGAAGTCTACGCAAAGGTAGTTTTTAAACCAGGAGAATCTGTTATTGTTAGACTGGGACAACCGCCACTGGAGCTAGTCACGGGGATCTATGGTAGATGGACTATGTCCTATTTCAGGTATAAAAAGAATGTAATTTTTATTGTATTATAGAATTTAGTTTGAGTTATTTTTTTGTAGCGACAATGTCTCTTCGCTTTCTGTTATTAAACATTAATCTGTGTTCTTATTTAGTCTGGAAAATCAAGAAAATTTGGAAGAGTACAAAAACTATTCCGGGTACAGCTACTTAAATGCTATGATGACACCTCCAGGAATTGGTGTACGTTGCGCAAACAAAAGTCCCGTAAAGTAAAAAAATTCTCTTTATCAGAGATTGTATCAGTAAAATTTTATTTTATTACTAAGTAGAGCAATCACAGCACTGTCCAATGGTTTTGGTTTTTATAGCAAAATTGGGCTACAGTATCTATCAAAAAACTAAAAATTATTTTCTCATCAAAGTTTTCCATGTAAAAAAATTTAACTCTTAATCTTAGTTTCTCCACTAATTTAGTTAACTGTTTTTCTAGCCCAGCTCTTGATGGTACATACTATCCGTGCTTCGAAAACTCAACCGATTTGAATCCACTTGTGCTGCCGTCTCAACGAGCTCCTTACAACCATCCTCTAGTGTCTGTTTTAGTTAATTGTCTAAAAAATGCTATTTTAAAGGACGATTTATTTTTTCAGTTGACCAGAAAAACTGATACGAATAATATTAGGTGATAAAAAAAGAAATATAATTTTTCCATTGGCCACTTAATTTAGTTGCGGATGCTCGTCGTCTGGATGGAATTGTTCTGTTGATGAAGACTTTTTTGATGAGTATACTAATGTAACTTTAGCGAGCGCTAATGTTGTTTTCGACTTATCTTATCGAAACATATCACAGTTTCGTCTTATTACTCATGAATATACTTCTTACTCGCCTGCAATGTGAGTGACCTGATAATTTTGGGAAAAAAAAGGATTGAAGAAACCTGCTTTTTTTTTGATTTTACAATTTTCAACTATTTCTTCAACATATTAGAAATCCAAACAGTAGTGTTTCAGACTTGGAGGTTGGCAGTTCTCGCAGATTAATAATTTAGCTCAACCGGAACAGGAGAAATTAGATGCATGTAATGGTTGGGATATACTGGGTACGTTTAATCCTCTCACTAATCCTCTCTTCCTTTTTGGCTTTTGATTGAATGAGCACTTTACTTTAAGTGCAATACACGAATCGTGCAATGGATGCATGGAATCTTACTCTTTCTCAAAACGTTTCATCACCTGACAGTTTCGTACCCGAAAATGCATCTTCTTCTGACTTGATGAAGGCTATTATTGGAAGCCTTGGCCAACGTGAGAACAGTAAAGTATGCTTCAAGAACCATAAAATAAAACTCGCTTGTTTTTGTTTCTTCTGTATAGTGTGATTAGTGCGGGATCACAGCAAAAAATATGAGAATTGGGGAGGAATTTGGGGCTGTTTTTTACCTAATGCGATTTGGTTGTGTTAAAACTGTCCTTATTAATGGTTTTAATGTGTTTTAAAGATCTATCGTTTTAGGTTTGGTTCAACAACAAACTTTGGGCATCTCTCCCGGCGTTAACGAACGCTTTCTCTAATGCCGTTTTGCGCAGTTTTGTTCCTGCCGAAAATGCTTCTGACTATGGAATAGTGACGTATTCGCATCCGATGAATGAAACTGTGGAAACGGCGGCAGATACCAGTGGAGCGTATGTATAAGCTGATGAAATTATTCGGAAAAAAATCTTTATTGAGTTAAAAAAACAAATTTAAAAAAAGATAGATGAGACTTTATTTAGCCAAGTTTTTAGAGTGCAACTAATAGCCTTTCGCATTCTGCTAGCAATGTTGGCTCTATCATTAATCGTTGCCAGTTTTTCGATGATTCTTGTGGAAGATCGAGTTTCATACAGTAAACATCTACAAATTATATCTGGAGTTGCACCGCATACCTACTGGCTAGCTAATTTCGCCTTTGATGGTGTAGGTGATAAGTTTTTAACAACGGATTTTTGAGCATTCAATTCTTGGGTTTGAAGTTTTTTGCATTTGTTACTTCTGCGTGATATCAATTTTTGACATTATTAAAGCAATTGTAAAAATCTGTATAAACGTTTTAGATAATATACATATTGTGCACGTTGCTTATAATTATCATTTACTACGCCATGGATGTTCAGTCGTTTGTGCTTACTTTCAAGTTTTCGGGCTCGGTCTTTTTCTGTTTCGTAGTTTTTGGGTGAGTCATTGAAGTCTCTCAAAATAATTTTTACCCCATGAAATTGAAACTATAACAGCAGAATTTTTGACATTTTTAAGGACTGCTGCCATCCCGATGGTGTACCTTTGTCAACTCTTCTTCAAATCTCCTCCAGTTGCTCTTATAGTAATCGGCATCGGCTTTTTCTTCGTTGGCACTGTGTTTACTATGGTTGTCATGCTTCTGGAAAACTTAATGCAAAAAGTCAAGCTTGGTTTCTCCATTTAGACCAACAATCCTTCTTAAGTTCATTTGAACATGTAATTTTAAAATATGAATAAATGCTTTTTATTACAGGATCCCACTCTTGAAGGAGCTTATGAAATTTGCGGTATCATCTTTATGTTTTTACCGCAGTATAATATCGGAATGGCGTTATATCGCATAAACTTTATATATACGCTGTACGAGCAGGGGGCCCTTTATCTAAGTCGGTTTTTCCACTTTATAAATGTCTGGCATTTTCGCTGACATCAGATCCTCAAATTTTACAATTCAAACTTTTGCTGTATGCATACATCTTGTGAGTGTACAGAGTTAAATGCAAGGCATTGTCTTTAGAGAATATTCATCGCTCTGACAAGATTGACGGGATTCCACTGCCACATCCACTAGAGTGGCATCTTATGGGAAAGCACTGTCTGGCTCTCATTTTGGAAAGTATTGCTTTCACTGTCATTCTGATGATGCTGGAGTATCGACATATAACCTGCAAATTTTTCAGGTTTTTCAAACTGCTGTATCGTAGAGCTGTTTGATTTAAGTTAGAAACTCAGTTTTTGTTGAATCGATTTTTACGAAACGTATTGCAGAGAAGGTGAGGCAAAAAGGACGATGCAGTTACTGAATAAGTATCAACGTGAAAACCCAGTAGTATTGGATGAGGATGTATTAAGAGAACAGGAGAAAGTGAACAACATCTTACACTCTGATGTTGGAGGAGGATATGGTTTAGTGGTTAAGTCATTAGCGAAGGTAATTACATGCATGATGTTCTTTAGATTTCAGTAGAAATTGTGTATCAGCTTCACCTAAATTATTTTTAGTCTTATGACGGTAAGGTATTGGCAGTCAATGATGTCTCATTCACTGTTGAAAAAGGAGAATGCTTTGGCCTTCTGGGCGTAAATGGGGCCGGCAAAACGACAACGTTTAGCATGTTGACCGGCCAGCTTGATGTTGGGTCTGGGGAAGCATTTTATGAAAGTCGGAAGTAGGTTTATAATTGTAAAATTTTTATAGTTAAACTGTAAAAGCTTAAAAAAAGTCTCTTCAATGTAAGCGAAACTCATAGAAGTATTGAGAAGAAAACTTAAATTTTGAGAGGTGCAAACGTGTGTTTCTTTGAAAAACTGTGAAATTTCTGGTTCATTTAATCTTTTTAATTTTTAGTCAAAATTTCAGTTTATTAGACAGAAGTAGTGAAAGCTTCCGAAATATTGGTTATTGCCCACAGTTTGATGCTCTTATACCGAAGATGACGGCTGCTGAACATCTGGAGTTTTATGCACTTCTTCGAGGAATTTCGCCGAACAATGTTAAAGAAGTAAAATTCTGAGGAAAATCATTAAAAAAATAACGAAACATATCATTTTTATCAAACAAAGGAAATTAATGAATTATGTAATCTAGGTTGTGGAATGGGGACTTGCAGAAATGCAACTAAAAAAGTATGCAGATCAAATTACTTCTCATTATTCTGGCGGTACAAAGCGTAAACTTTCTGCTGCAATTGCTTTGATTGGTGATCCGCATGTAATAATGATGGTAAATAAAGCAAAAATTTCTACTACTTGTCGTCTTAGAACAAAATTTCAAAAAGTAAAGATAGTTTGGCTCTATACAGGATGAGCCTTCTGCTGGAATGGATCCTGCTTCGCAACAGTTTATGTGGAATCTGATACTACAACTTCGAAAAAGCAGGCGTACTGTTATTATTACATCGCACAGCATGGAGGAATGTGAGAAATTGTGTACGAAAGTGGCCATAATGGTGAAAGGTCAATTCCAGTGTATAGGACCGATCCAGCATCTTAAGCAAAGGTCTGTTTTGTCTTTTCACATCAATGTTTTTCGCTCTAATAGCATTGGATTTAAAGGACGGTATCTTACGGCCACTGAAATAATTCTGTTTAGGTTCGGCGATGGATACAGTCTGACTTTAAAATTTAGTGATAACGAATCTTCAGTGAAGGGCCAAGAATTCATGACCGAATTTCTACCAAAAGCTCGGGTATGACAATTAATTTTTGAAAATAATTACTGCATTTATCATGAAAAAATGGCAAGTAATTTTCCAAAACAAGAAATTTGAAGTTTAAACTTTGTAGCTTGAAGCAGCGCACTGCACAAGTGTTCTCTATCATTTACCCAAAGATGCATGTAGCGTCGCCGAAGCCTTTTCTCTAATCTGCAAGGTGATCGATCATAACTAAAAAGCGACAAAATGCTATTTATTCAATATTATGACTGTTACTATTATTATGATTAATATTACCTTTAATTTATAATTATCACTATTATTATTTGCATCATTCTGTACTGGAAATCTTTTCAAAGCAGTCAATAGCTATTGTATTTAGTTACGAGAGGAAGCCTCTTTAGAAGACTACTCACTTTCTCAAATATCACTGGACGAGGTTTTTGTGAGTTTTGCGCAGAAATGTCAGTCATGTTCAAAAAAAACTCTAGAACAAGCAGATACAGATGAAGGTCCCTCAGTATCAACAAGCAGTTCGTTTTTTAAAACTTCTTTTCACAAAAACAAAAACTTTTTAGTTGTATGCCATATATTGGTGCCACAAAAACGAAATAAAAAAACATTCACTAATAATAAATGAAGTAAATTTTTTACCGGTACAATTTAGGTACACGGTCATGAAGCGGAATCAACGGAATTAACTTGGCTGTAAAAACCGGTGAACGGCGATCGAAAGTTGGATTTCGTTGATAAAGTTAATGAGGAAGACTTGTTACTAAAGGCACTTCATAATGTGGCGTTCTCCGCTGAAGCAGACAGTAAGGTGTACTATCGGATGGATGATTGCGGATACAACGCACCACACTCAGGATAGTCTTATCTGTATATTTGGTTCTTGTTTTCACTTTCAAGTCGAGAAGTTCCCTCTTTAGAATCATTTTTGTTACAAGGGTATTTTGTTAAAAGGGTATTATAACTGTAGTTGCTTCATAAAGTGATTCTACACTGTAAAACTAGTAGAGTAGATTTCTGTAAAAAATGTCTATCTCAGATCGCGTACGTATATCCACTGTTCATATATTTGAGTACAAATTTTTTATTCTACCATCACTCTCAGCTTTCATGAGCTTATCGCATCTGTTGTACAAGGATTTGACCGGTTCTCAGATCTTAAATTGCGATAATGAAAAAGATTTCAAAAAATACAGTAATCATACGGTTAAGTGAGTTCATGTTTAAGCTTAATTTTGTAACCAGGGGATATATCCCAGTTTATTACATTTTCCGATGAATCATTTAATTTTTTTTGATTGACTGTAAAATAAAGTGTGGTAAATATACGTAATAATGTTTAAAGAAAAAACCGAGTGAAACAACGAACAGGTTGACATTAAACTCGGTTGTTAAATGAAGAAAACCCTGTGATTTTTGTGCCAAATATGTAAAACTTCAAATAAAACCAATTTTTAAAAATCGCAATTTCCTTGTTCCGTGGAGAACAACATTGTTAGCGCCCTCATCATTGCACCGGTACAGGTCAACATCTGTAGCGCTTTATCGTAAGACAGCAAAACTACGCTATCACTACAGTAGGAAGTAGTCCCTGGAACTTTAATATCCATGTTCACAGCGACAACGGTAATGATGAAGTTGTTAAATGCTATAGAGCTATCAGTTCTGTATCAACTGATATTAAGCCGCAGGGTTTTGATGACTAGATCAGTCAGAGAGGAAAAACTACTGCTGTCTTTCTAAGCAAAACAAGGACGGTTTTGTAAAACCAGAAGACTGTATTCAAGCAAGGCTTAATTTGAAGCTGGTTGTGAATAGTTAACACACCAAAAGTTTCACTTTAAATGTTTGGAGATTGTTGTCTGAGCCAATAAAAACTATGATTTTTTTCAAATTATGTCTCCTGCAGTTCTTTGAGAGAACGGTGCGACTTCTTTATGCTGTACTTAAAGTTTGGGAATATTACTTATTGCATTAGTGGCAGAAAACAATAAACACCATACTTTCCCCTTTTTTGTCACATTTTTATTAACTCCCTCAATGCACAAACATCAATAATTTAAAAAGTTTCACAAACCCTAAGTGCCACTCTGCTTTTATCTCTTATTTTTTACATTTAAAGTTTATGAAACATCCAATTTTTCAAATGTCCTGTAAAAATACATAAATAAACCGTGTTTTTCGTCAAGTCCAAAAATTAGACATGTAAACTTAGTAATATAACAGAAAAATCCCATTTGCTGCATATTTTTTCTATCCAAATTACATTGACAATACAGTAATAAATGAGAAATCGAAATAACCAAACACTTTGACACATAATCCATTCAAACGGTAAACTACACCTTCACTTTCGTATGAAACAACAGAAAGTAAATACAAGTGTTTTTGTAATTTTCAGAGCATTCCTAAAAATGGTACGTCAACAGTCACCTAATCTATTAACAAACAAGTGTAAACAAAAATTGCATTCACTTTCATAGACTGAAAGGTTTATAAAAATGAAACAAATTTTTGGGAAATAATGTACAGTTTAAATCCAAAAAAAGTGTTTGAACAATTTGCCCTAACGTTTACTTCTGTAAGACATGAAAAATACCCCAGGAGCTGTACACCACTGTTTAGCCGCATTGGTTTTTCTAGATTGAACACAAAATTTTACTCAAATATAACTGACTGCCTGTCCAGAAGACGTACTAATTAAAGAGTAGTAAAAGAGATACCAATATGCGGCTCACTACTTAATATGAACAAAAGCGGTCGGACTTCTCAACACTAAACTGCAGCTAGTGCAACTGTTTCTACTTCAACGGTAAAGAGGGAAATGCATCCAAAGATCCTCCGTAGCCCTACAGCTAAACGGGAAATTCCCAGCCAGCTTACAATCCTGAGTAAGGAAAAAATTTTCAGCAATTTTAACTGAGAACACTCCAAAAACGAGTGAAACTTCGTTAGTCTTTTTTTTACTATATTGCAAACAGGTGTATTGAACCGTGCATACTTGACATACTTAACAAAGCAACCAGAACCGACTACAGTGCAAATATACGCCACTGCACAAACCGGTTACCGAGAACCCGCAAAAGAAAACCCTGAAATCCCCTTTGCATGCTCTAACGCAATGAAGTTAAGGAGTCTGCAAGTTTTAAAAATAAACTTTCAACAAACTGCATAACGAAGATACCGCTGTCAGACAGTTGTTCTCGGTGATATTTGCACAGCATGCTGTTTCCGTCCTAACCAGCACTCTGTTGCCACCGCACAAACCTTATGGTGATGTAAACACCCACAACTGATCACAAATAACGCACCAGTCCTTAAGCTTCTGAAGTAGGCTTCTGTACCCACAAACTGTTTATCCTTTGTCACGTACATACACGACTTCCAAAACTAAAGATTTATTAACATCGGAACTGTCACCTACACAGAACCATTAAAACAACCAGTAATTCCTTAACACCTTAGTTTGACTCAACCTAACACCTACAATTGATAACTTTAAATGCTACCCACTCAACGCAGAAACACTTCCGTAACGCCTTCACGACTAAATCAAATTCTGATAACCATACACCTCGCTTAATCAAATGAGCATCAAAA